ATGTACCAGTTTGTCCATGATTTTTTGAAGGATATTCCAGCTTTGGCAGATCATGATTATGAATAAAGCTGCTTTAAATATTTATGTATGAGATTTTCTTTGAAGGTAAGTTTTCATTTCCCTTCAGTAGATCACTGTGTCATGGTTAACTCTAACTTTATAAGAAATTGCTAAACTGTGTTCTAGAGTGGTGTACCATTTTACATTCTCTCTGACAATGTATATAAGTTTCTGTAGTTTGCTTCCTTGTCAGCGCTTGGTATTGACAGTTTTTAATTTTTAAAATTTTAGGTATTCTAAGATTTATGTAATGGTATCTCATTTATTCATTTTTGTTTCTCATTGTGGTTTTAATTTGTATTTCCCTAATCCCTAATGAAGGAGCTCTGGTGGCATAGTGCCTAAGGCATTTGACTGCTAACCAGAAGGCTGGCGGTTCAAATGCACCAACCACTCCTTGGAAGGAAGGTTGGGCAATCTACTTCTGTAGTGATACCACTTTGGACACCCAAGGAAGGGTTGCTATGAGTCGGATCTGACTCGACGGAAGTGAGGTGGTTTTTTTTTTTTTTTTGGTGGAAATATAAAATGGTGCAGCTGCTCTAGAAGAGTGCTAGCAGTTCCTTAAACTATTAAATACACAGTTACATATTATCTAGTGATTACATTTCTAGGTATATATCCAAGAGAATTGAAAATGCATGTCTACATAAAAACTTGTACATGAATGTTCCTAACAGCATTATTTGGAATAGCACCAAAATAGAAACAACATAATTGTCCATGAGCTAAAGAATAGATAAATAAGTAGTTTAACTGTACAAAGGATTGAAATACATGCTATGACATGGATGAACCTTGAAAATCTTGTGTAAAGTTGAAAAACCTAGTCAAAAAGGACCTCGTATTTGACTGCTAACCAGAAGGCTGGCGGTTCAAACCCACCAGCCACCCCTTGGAAGGAAGGTTGGGCAATCTACTTCTGTAGTTATACTGCCTCGGAAACCCAAGGAGGGGTCGTTATGAGTTTGATTTGACTCAATGGCAGTGGTTTTTATTACATGATTCCATTGTACGGAATGTCTAAATTAGGCAAATTTTGAGACAGAAGTTAGCTTAGTGGTCTTCCTAGGGCTGAAAAAAATTTAGGGGATTTAGTGGGTAATGGCCATGAGGTATAGGATTTTTTGTCAGGGTAATGAGAATGTACTAAAAGTGTGATGGATGCATAACTCTGAATATACTCTAAGCCATTAAATTACGCAGTTTAAATTGGTGAATTTGTATGGCTGTGTAAATTACATCAATAAAGTTTTTCTTAAAACATACAGTTTTAAGTGTACAACTTGATAATAGTATATGTTGTTGTTGTTGTTATGTGCCGTCGAGTTGGACCCAACTCATAGCGACCCCTCCTTGGGTTTCCGAGGCAGTATCACTACGGAAGTAGATTGCCCCATCTTCTTTCCGAGGAGTGCTGGTGGATTTGAACCTCCAGCCTTCTGGTTAGCAGTCAAATGCCTTAGACACTATGCTACCAGAGCTCCCAATAGTATATAGAACTGTATAAATATCACCACAATCCAGTTTTAGAACAGTCTCACGCCAAAAGAGCCTTTATGCTATTTGCAGTCAATACATGCTCCCAGTCCAGCCCCATACAACTACTTATGTGTTTTCTATCACTGTAGATTTGCTTATTAGGTATATTCCATATAAATGGAATAATGCAATATGTGACCCTTTGTATCTGGCCGCTTTTATTCATCAGCAGAATGATTTTGGGATTCATCCATGTTTCATAGTTCATTTCTTATTGAAAAAATATGCTTATTTTATGGGTACTACTACATTTTACTTAGTCATTCACCAAACCCACTGCTGTCAAGTCAGCTGACTCATAGCAACCCTTTAGGACAGGGTAGAACTGCCACATTGGGTATGTTGTTGTTATGTGCTGTTGAGTCAGACCTGACCCATAGCGACCCCTCCTTGGGTTTCCAAGGTGGTATCACTACGGAAGTAGACTGCCCAATCTTCCTTCCTAGGAGTGGCTGGTGGGTTTGAACTGCCAGCCTTCTGGTTACCAGTCAAGTCCCTTAGGCATTACGCTACCAGAGCTCCTCACATAGGGGATGCAAGACTGTAAATCTTTATGGAAGCAGCCTGGCTCATCTTCAAGTTGACTGGTGGGTTCAAACTGCCAACGTTTTGATTAGCAGCCAGTGGTTTAACCACAATACCACTAGAGGTCCTCCTCCATTCACTAGTTGATGGCTATTTTGATTGTCCCTGTTTTTAGCTATTAAGTATAACCATGTAGTAAATATTCATATAGAAGTCTGGGTATAAGTTTTTATTTCTTTTTGGTAGATACCTAGGAGTGGAATTGCTGGGTCATGATAAATTTATATGTTTAACTTTTTAGGATGCATGGGGTCACCAAAAGTTGGAAGTGACTGCAGGCCAACTGCTTTTTATTATTATTATTATTATTTTGGTTTTAGAAACTGCCAAACTGTTGGTTGTTTAGTGCCCTAACACATTTGACAGCTAACCAGAAGGCTGGTGGTTCAAACCCACCAGCCACTCCTGGGAAGGAAGATTGGGCAATCTACTTCCTTAGTGATAATGCCTGGGAAACCCAAGGACTGGTTGCTGTGAGTGGGATCTGACTGGGTGGCTGGGACTTCCATTTTTTTTTTTAACACTGTTTACCAATGGCTAATGATGTTAAACATGTTTTGCTGTGCTTATTAGCATTTCTGTATTTTTGTGAAATGTTTATTCAAATTTTTTGATCAGTTTTTAACTAGGTGGTGGTGGTTATGTGCCATCGAGTGGGACCTGACCCATAGCGACCCCTCCTTGGGTTTCTGAGGCAGTATCACTACAGAAGTAGATTACCCCATCTTCCTTCCAAGGAGTGGCTGGTGGATTTGAACCTCCAGCCTTCTGGTTAGCAAATAAGTGCCTTCGGCACTAAGCTACCAGAGTGCCTAGATAATTACTGAGTTTTGAGAGTTGTTTATATATTTTGGATACATGGTTTTTTTTTTTTTCTTTTTGGTCAAATTTGTGGTAGCCAAATACTGTCTCTTAGTCTTTGGGTTGTATTTTCATTCTCTCAACTATCTTTTTGCATAGCAAAGGTTTTAATTTTGATAAATTCCAATTTATTAAAATTTTTCTTTTTTAGTGTCATAGCTAAGAACTTTTTGCCTAACTCGAGGTCTTGAAGATTTTCACCTATATTTTTCCTAAAAGTTTTATAGCTCTGTTTTACATTTAGGTCTATGACCCATTTTTAGTTAATTATTGTATAAGGTGTGAAGTATAGGTTAAGGTTTTCTCTCTCTCTTTTCTTTTTTGGTATGTGGATGACCAGTTGTTCCAGCACCATTTGATGAAAATACTCTTTTCTCCAATGAGTTACTTTTGCACCTTTGTTAAAATCAATTAACCATAATCCTATGGGTCTGTGTCTTTCCTGTGTGTGCTAAATTTTCTTCTCCTCTTATTTCTTTTTTCTTTCTGTCTCTTCATTTTTTTCTTTTATTCCAGCTCTTTCTCTTATTTCTGATCATCTCTCTCTATTTTCCGTTAATGTGAAAATGAAGTATATGGCTTAGTATTAATTGAAGTTTAATGTACTTGATTTTTAGTTTAAAATGCAATATCATGAAGTATTTATATTTTAAATGTATTTCTACTTTTAAAAAAATCCCCAAAAATTAACTTTTTAATT